CTGCTGTGTTCATCCAGCTCTACACCTTGTTATGGCAGGTGTATGTTTTATTCACTGTACAGGAGGGATCATTCAGGATCTTGTTACTAATGCTTGCTTTACAGTTTGTTTCAAATTTAAACCTCATTGTCCACGTCAGGTGCCAAGGAAAACACCTGAATTATAAAGGGGCATTGTGACTGTATAGCAAAGATTGAGGGGGGATCTTATAGAAACATATAAAATTATGAAGGGAATAGATAAGATAGAAGTAGAGAGGATGTTTCCACTGGCAGGTGAAGCTAGGACAAGAGGGCATAGCCTCAAGATTAGAGGGAGCAGATTTAGGACTGAATTGAGAAGGAACTTCTTCACCCAGAGGGTTGTTAATCTACGGAATTCCTTGCCCAGTGAAGTAGTTGACGCTACTTCAGTAAACGTTTTTAAAAAAAAGGTAGATTTTTTTTGAACAATAAATGAATTAAGGGATACGGTGAGAACGCGGGTAAGTGGATCTGAGTCCACGAAAAGATCAGCCATGATCTTACTGAATGGCGGAGCAGGCTCGAAGGGCCAGACGGCCTACTCCTGCTCCTAGTTCTTATGTTCTTATGTTCTTTCAGTGATGTATATGTGAACACAGGGCAAATGTGCTGTTACCTTGTACAATATGTGCAGCATCTATGCAAATACTTGGCATGATGGAAACGCATGACTGAGTGCATCTCCACAAAGCACATCCAGAAAAACAAGTCTTACACCCCACAACCCCAAACAAAAACCCCACTTGTATCCTGTCGTTACCAACAGGGAGCCCTGAGGGCCCCTCAGCACAGTATGTATAACCAGTTACCTGTTGTCACAGTGACACAAAGGGTCAGTCCTCAGTCACACAAATTCATTCACATTACTACATGTTCAGAAAAGGATGCTGCATTAATCCATCAATAAGTGTATGGAAGTATAATTAATGCAGCACTTGGTTCACGGATATTTTTAAGCAGTTGGACGTTTACTTTTCCACATTTCGACTTTAAAAGTTCGGAAAGTGAGCGCTAGCCCTGCAATAGGCACGTTGACACCCATCTAACATCTAACCAAGCCTTTCACATGTCCCCTTTCCTCAGCAGCTCATTTAAATATTTCACCCCCACCCCAAACAGAAGGCCGTTCAGCCCCTCTAGCCTGTGTCACGATATAATTAGATCAGAACTCGCATATTTGCTCTTGATATTCACAATACCTTAAAAATAAACTGAATGCAAACGGGTGAAGCCCGAGAAAGTGTCCCAGTCTAGCAGCAGCCAGTGTTCTCAATCCCGGGCAGCAGTTTAAATTGCAGGTTCAGTTGAGCTCGGATGTTGGTTTTCCAGAGCAAGGAGCTGACCTCGGCTGAGTGTTGCAGACCGGCACATTCCAAGGTCCAGGCCAACGTGCTGAGGGACTCAGTAAAGCCTGGGGCAGCTGCTCCAAGATTGCGCAGTGGGGAAAAACCACTGACTGAGGTCTTTCAGCCAAAGTACACTGGGGCTCTATTCAGTTATCAGACCATCCTGGTGCCTCTAATTTATGTAAACAGTATCTTGCAGCAGTAAGAAATGCCTTAGGTTTGTTTGTTGGAACTGCAGGGCAAGTCGAACTCCAATGTTTGTTTGTTTCTATTTGCAGAGACTGTACAGGACCACACTGCTCTAGTGACTATGTATGTATATGAAGATTTTTTTTATGAATAAAGTATATTTTTGAAATAAATAAAGCTCGGATTAACTTTGAAGGGGCAGCCTCCTGGAAGAAGTTGCTTTAACTTGATACTTTGTTCTCTCTCTCGCTGCTATTTAATGTTTGTATGTCGCCCTCTGCAATGGGTGCACTGTGCATGTCTATATAAAGTTTGCAAAGAGCTCCCGGGCCAGGCACCCTGCCTTTCTCCCGCCACCCCCAGCAGCTCCCAAGCTTTCACTCACCTTCCGTCTGTCCTGTAAGGGGGATCCCGAGCAGCAAGCCCCAGTCCTGCCCTCCGTGCTCTGGCTCCAAGCCGGCCGAGTCACCCTCCTCCTGCCGGCAGTGGAACCCACTTCCCCGGGCGCTTGCTGCTGCTGCTGCCGGCTACCGAACCCCAATCCCGGGGTCCAGGGGGGCAGCACCGCCACCCTCAGCAGCAGGAGGGCAACTGAGGAGAGGCAGAGGGGCATCATCCAGCGTGGGAAAGCCGAGACAGGGGGCGGCAGCAACTTTCTCCAGGACATGGCGAGCTGTGAGCAGCTTGTGGTCGGGAGTGAGGATTATTCCCCCAGGCTAGCCGGCTGTCTCCCTTGGGGGCTGGAGATCTCCTTACTCCCACTCACTGACAGGCTGCCCGCTTCAATGAATGAGAGACAGAGGCACTGAGCCGCTCTCACCTCCTCCCCGACACGCCCCCTCATCCAGCTCCCATCCCACTCCTCAGCCCAATATCACACAGTCACCCACCCCCTCTCCTCATAGGCGATTTAACCCCTTACTGGGCATCTGTGGCGACATTTGAGGTGGGAACTGCAGGGAGTTGTAATGTGCAGAGATTTCCCAGGACTAGCCTGAGCTTGGAGAGTTTCAGTTATGAAGCGAGATTGTACAGACTAGGCTTGTTTTCCTTAGAGCAGAGGAGATTGAGAGGGGCCATATGATTGAGATGTGTAAAATTCTGAGGGACATAGACAGGTGGTGGAGGTATCAATGACCGAGGGCATAGATTTAATGGAAGGGGCAGGGGGTTTAGAGGGAATGTGACATTTTTCACCCAGAGGGTGGTGGGAAATCTGGAACTCACTGCTCCTAAGAGGCAGAATCCCTCACAGCATTGATTGACTAAGAAGGGGAAAATAGAGTATGAAAGTAAGCTTCAGGGATCATAAAAATGGACACTGAGAGTTTCTATAGGTACGTGAAGAGAAAGATTGGTGAAGACAAATGTAGGTCTCCTATGAACAGAAAACGGGCGAATGTATAATAGGGGACAAAGAAATGGCTGAGGAACTGAATACATACTTTGGTGCTATCTTCACAAAAGAGAAGGCAAATGAGATACCATAAATGTTGGAGGATGCAAGATTTAATGAGAGGGAAGAATTGAGGGAGATCAATATTAGTAGAGAAATGATGCTGGGAAAATCGATGGGATTGAAGGTGGATAAATCCCCCAGGGCCCAATAATCTACATTCCAGAGTACTTAAGGAAGTAGCTATAGAAATAATGGATGCATTGGTGGTCATCTCCCAGGATTCTATAGACTCTGGAACAGTCCCTGCAGGTTGGAGGGTGGCTAATATCACTCCAATATTTAAAAAGGGAGGTAGAGGGACAAAAGGCAATTATAGATCAGTAAGCCTAACATTGGTAGTGGGGAAAGTTCTTGAATCCATTATCAAGGACTTTATAGTGAAGCATTTAGAAAGCAGTTGCAGGATCAGACAGAGTTAGCATGGATTTATGAAGGGGAAATCATGCTTGACAAATCTGTTGGAATTCTACAAAGATGTAACTAATAGAACTGAAAAGGCGGAGCCAGTTGATGTGGTATATTTGAACTTTCAGAAAGTGTTTGAGAAAGTCCTGCAAAAGAGATTATTATGCAAGATTAAAGCACATGGGATTGGGAGAAGTGTATTGAGATGGATAGAAAACTGGTTGGCAGAGAGGAAACAAAGATTAGTAATTAATGGGTCCTTTACAAATTGGCAGGCAGTAACTAGTGGGGTACCACAGGAATCGGTGCTGGGAACCCAGCTATTCACAATATACATTAATGATTTGGATGAGGGAACAAAATGTAACATTTCCAAGTTTGCAGATGATACCAAGTTGGGTGGGAGGGTGAACTGTGATGAGGATGCAGAGAATCTTCAGCATGACTTGGACAGGTTGGGTGAGTGCGCAAATCAATGACAGATACAGTATAATTTGGATAAATGTGAGGTTATTCACTTCGGAAGTAAAAACAAGACAGCAGAATATTACTAGAATGTTTGTAGACTGGGAGAGGGAAGCATGCAGTGGGACCTGGGTGTCCTTGTGCACCAGTCGCCGAAGGTAAGCTTGCAGGTGCAGCAGGTGGTAAAGAAGGCAAATGGTATGTTGGCCTTCATTGCGAGAGGTTTCGAGTACAGGAACAGGGATGTGTTGTTGCAGTTATACAGGGCCTTGGTGAGACCACACCTGGTAGATTCTGTGCAATTTTGAACTCCTTTTCTGAGGAAGGATGCTCTTGCTCTCGAGGGAGTGCAGTGAAGGTTTACCAGGCTGATTCCAGGGATGGCGGGTCTGACGTATGGGGAGAGATTGACTAGGTTGGGATTGTTTTTGCTGGAGTTCAGATGAATGAGGGGGGAGTCTCATAGAGACTTAAAAATTCTAACAGGACTGGACAGGGTAGATGTAGGGAGGATGTTCCCAACGGTGAGTGTGCCCAGAACCAGGGGTCACAGTCTGGGGATTCGGGGTAGACGATTTAGGATGGAGATGAGGAGACATTTCTTCACCCAAAAAGTGGTGAGCCTGTGGAATTCATTACCACAGGAAGTAGTTGATGCTAAAACATTGAATGTATTCAAGAGGTAGCCAGATATAACACTTGGGGTGAATGAGATCAAAGGTTATGGGAAGAAAGCAGGATTAGGCCATTGAATTGGATGAACACTCATGATCATGATGAAAGGCAGAGCAGGCTTGAAGGGCTGAATGGCCTCCTCCTGCTCCTATCTTCTATGTTTCTATAACATTTAAGTAGTATTTAGATGTAACAAAAATAGAAATTGATGAAAACACTCAGCAGGTCTGGCAGCATCTGTGGAGAGAAATCAGAGTTAACTTTTCGGCTAGAGTGACCATTCCTCAGAACTCCAAAATTTTTGGTTTCTATTTAGTATTTAAATGTACACTTCTGCCAAGGTATACAAGGCTAATGGCTAAGTGCTGAAAAATGGGATTAGACTAGATAGGTGGTTGTTTTTGACCTGTGCAGTTCTGATAGGCTAAAGGGCCTTTTTCTGTGCTGTAGGTCTCTATGACTGTAAATTCTCTCATGGTATGTGGGTTAGAACAGCACTTGTTGCCTATCCCTATCTGTAAAGCAGTTTAGAGCCAACCTCATTGCTCAGGGTTTGGATTCCTGTGTAGCTCAGACTGGAGAAAGATTTGCTTCCAAAAAGGGCATAAATGAAACAAATGGAAATGTGTGAAAACCAATAATAGTTTCATGGTCACCATGACTGAGACTCTTTATGAATTGAATATCTATTTCACCAGCTCCATGTTGAAATTTGAACCCATGTTCCCATAAGCCAAGCTCCCTGAGTTACTAGTGCAGGGACCTTATCATCACCTTTTGAGGGTAGCTGGAGATGGGAGTGGAAGGTGTGGTAAAAATACACATCTCTGCTACCACTTGTAGGAGATTTGCTGTTGGGGAAAGTCACCATCCTTTGTTTTGTACCATCCATGCTGTAGCTAATTTGAATCCAGGTCACCCCATCTTCCTCCTGCCATGCACTCTACCTTCCAGACCCGATCTCTGCTCTGATCATATGACTGCATTACTGTGTTATTTTTGTTTGAATATCACTTTTTAAGAATTCTTTTTGCTGTAGTAATTTCAAGCACCTCTTAATTTGTTTATGGTCTGTATGTGGAATGTTTAGCATGTATCTTAATATCCACGTGTTGAAAGTCTCTATTTTCTTCTATAGGTCTTTATTTATTGTCCAGGTTCTGAGGTTTGCAGGAAAGTGGAGAGGACGTCGCATCCTATGAGTTATTCCTTTAGTGTAAGTTTGAATTTTCTTGTTGTTAACACATGCTTCATCTTCACAAATTTACCTCCAGTTATCTCTTTTCTGACATTTGCATCATATCTGCCATCTTCTGTCATCATTTGTCCTAAATAGACAAACGTATCTACCTGTTCCAGTGTGACACCATCCACTTCAATCTTCCCTCCAGTTTCTTCCAAATTTTCCTTCTAACTGCAACTTTTTTTTTGTTCTTCATACTGATTCTATATTCTAAAGTTTGAGATTTTACTTGATCTATATATGTCATAGGGCCTCTTCTGAATCTGTAAGTACTTCTGTGTTGTCCGTGACCACCAGTTTGATGTGTTCTTGCATCCAGTTGATATCCCAGGAAATACATCCAATTCCCTGGATATTTGTTGTGTTTACAGGTTGAATGATTTTGGTGATGGTACACGGCCTAGTTGTGCTTCTCTCTTCATCTGAAAGATGTTTGATTGTCCATTTTCTAGCCTGATGCTCGCTATTTGATCCTAATGGAGGCTCTGGGTAATTCTTACACCTTTACTGTCAATGTCACATTTTAGCAACATGTCTGTTAACTTTCTGTAGTAATCACAATCAAATACAACATAAACGTTCCTGTTTATTTCTCAATATTTATCAAAGATTGTTCTCAGATTTAATATGCACTGTCTTGTACCTTCTCCATGTCTAAATCCAGATTGTATTTCCCTAATCCCTGGTTCAAATTTGTTCTTTTTTTGAAGGGCTGTCATTTTAATCCAAGGTTTCTCACTGAGAAATATCCTGGAAATCTTCAAGAACCATCTTTAGATTATTTCCATTTTAGTTTTTGCAATCAGGACGACTATCTCAGTAGGTCATGCTGGTTTAGTGAGGGTTATCAATAGGAATGTTGGAGTATGCATCAGTTTGTGGAGGCAGTGCAACTAAATCAGGTGCTATCACTCCTTCAGCTGTATAGTCACTTATTTGATAGTGACTACATGTTAAAATGCAGTTCATTGACTGGAAACCCTCAAAGGACACAACAGGCATTATATAAATGAATGCCCTTCCTTAAATAGCAACCCCGGGAAATTTCCGTATTGTCAAAGAGTATCCAAAGATGTTCATTTGTTTTCAGTTTGGAGTAGGTAAAATTGTCACAGTTATGAAAGGGCAAGGCATTTTTTTGTTCTGTAACCTAATGTTGTAATAGGCTCTGTATTCAATTTGAACTGGAGCAGTCAAACGATCTCTCCTTCCTCAATGTCCCAATTGAGAAAGCAGCCAGGGGGTTCTCTATACTGTTCACCACAAACCCACCCTCCCTGGTCAGTATACACTTTGGGATTCCTACAATTCCATGCACCTTTAGATTGGTCTTAACGACAACCTGATAAATAGGGCTCAAGCCAGTTATTCACTGTACGCACTTGATACAGAAATAGGGTTCGTCCTGTGGTTACCCTGATCAGACCATTCCTTCCTTTGTATCGTGCAAGCTCATGAATAGGTTTAAGGCTGTCATTTTTTGGTGCTGAAAAGTCTACCTCAGATGAGCCTGGAATGTAGGGAATC